AATAATAATAAAACGCCAAGTATACATAGATTCATTGTGTAAGCCCACAGCTTTTTTCTGCAATAGTTTAACACTATTTGAAAATATACCAGATATTTCGATCAAAAGTTTTGATTCTTCTCTAGCCGTAAACTGGGTTCGACTCTCATCGTTTGTATGTTTGAATGTTATAACATAGAAACGATGAGAGTTATTATCCTAAACGTTCAAAGGAGGTAACTCTTCTCACTTATAAAATAAAACTAACAACCTGACAATAGGTTATTTTCCCTTGCACTATGAACAATGTAACGATCAAATAAATTAAGGTAAATTAATGATATTATATCACTTGGGGTATATAAAATTATTTCTTTAAAAAATACTCTTACAGTTTCTTCTCGAGTGTTGTAACGGAAAATGACGTATGGAAGACAGGAAAATTTGAAAAATCAAAGGTCGAGTGAAATATAAAAACAAAAAAAAATCTATATAAAGGGAAGTAACTCATATGAAAATGAACGCGTTAAGAAATTCAACTGAAATGTTTGCTTCTCTCTCAAGAACCTTTTCTTATTTATTTTTTTTTTAGAAAAGTCTACTCCAAAATTAAGAATAAATAAACGAAATAAAATTAATATAATAATATTATTTTATCTTATGTATCATTTAGTGTAGGATGGGAATAATAAACAAGGTAAAGATATTTTCCATACTGCACATTTCGGTGATTTTGATATAAATTACACACAGAGAGGGAGGGAAGATCGTTGTTTCGTAAAGTATCGAGATAAGATAAGACTCACTAAGAGTAGTTTCCGAATGTTTGCAGTTTAATTTCGTAAATTTATGAATTATTCTTTAACCGGTTATTGATATAAGATAAGAAATACATTTCTGTGAACAAATATATACTTGATAATAAATCTTATATTATCTTGTAAATTTTATGTATGATTATGTCAATTTAGACAGATCAGAAGAGAATATTCAAGTCAGAATTTTTCTTTGAAAGTGTTTAATAAGGATCACCATTTATTTGACAATGCAAAAATATATGGTTCATGCCTAAATCCTGTTAGTTGTCAAAGCAAAAAAAAAAACAGAAACCTGATCCAGTATTTCCCTTTAAGTTTTTTTACTGAATTTATACGGGCTACATTCATCTTTTTTTAATTTTCTACTCACTGGACCTGGAATTATCATACGATTATATTTCCACATTTTTTTTAACGGGCTTATGGCCACATCACGTTGAAAGACCGATTTCTGTACTATCCCCGAAGTTACGCAACGTCAAGCCGAGTCAGTACCTCGATGGGTGACCGTTTGAGAAGACCAGGTGCTGTAAGCTTTGATGTGCGAGTGGTGTAATGAATAATAACTCCGAAATGTTAATCAGAGAGCCGAGTTCCAATTTCCGTTGGCTTCGTTATATTCATTTACGTGCAAATACCTACCTCTTCTCCGTCTAGCTATGGGTTAATTAGTAAGACTTGTATCACTAAATCGTTATTACCCCACCACACACACACACACACACACACACACACACACACACACTACTCACAAATTCTTACAATCTAAAAATATTTTCTGACTTTAAATAACCTACAAAGGGTTGATAAACCGTAGAAAACGTATCAATCGTTTTTTAACAAAATATAATTTAGTAGTCATGATCAAGTTGTCGACATTATTTCAATAAACTTGAACCGTAAATGTTAAATGTTTCAAAGTATCTGTACCCATTACACCATTACTGAACTCAATATGTATCTCATTAATCATTGTTAATATGATGATTCAAATAATTAATCACAATGAGTAAAATGTCAATAATTTTAATATTACTATTAGTCACTGTAAGTCTTTTCACTTTCAATTCATAATTTCACATACGCTTGCCTAAGTTGGTGTCAGCAACATTGAAAGGGATTATCACACTATAATTTTCTTTTGTTGCACTTGAAAGAACCAACATGCACCTTCTAGAGAAAGTAAATAAAATATATTTCTCAGTATTTAAATAGAAAAATAACATTCTTTCAGTTCGGAGCAATTTGTTACAGTTAAATAGATGTACCTGGTTGATAAAATAAAGTTGTTTGTTAAAAGCTGCTACGGCTTCTGTGAATTTATAAAGAAAATAAAAACATTAAATCATTGGTCAAAGGATAGGAGTCTTTGCTCTGTATGACAATCAAAGCTTGCTTTCTATTGATAAATTTGTAGTAATGATCCTCACCAAACGTTGTGTCATCACAAGCAGTATACACATATTGATTTCATGTATCGTAATTGAAATTGCCAGCTCAAGTTATTTTCCCCAATTGTTATAAAAAATATATGAGCACCAAAATTCTATATTTACAAATTCCATCTCACACCTACACAAACTAAAATGCTTTCATAGCCTTCCTAAGAAAATAGGAAAAATTAGAAGAATTACACTACTAGCTAATCATTATCATGGGGTTTTAGTAGGTTATGCGGTATTTTGATAAATGTTGGATTTGATATGGAAGGATGAGTTCTTTGTGGTAATTAAGTCAGTTGTTAGGGTGAGTGGATCTTGAATCAAATTATCTTGATGTAGGGCAGACAATGAGATCAGCCTTTCTCCACTTCCCCTTTGGTCTTGTACCACAAAATGTAATTTTACATTTAAATAAACATTATCTTCCGATAAAATGTGTTACAAAATAATTCGAAAAATGTCATCAAGAGAAAATGTTTCTTCAAGTCTCAAAGTTTTTTCTTCGGGGATCTTTTCTTTTAATTCACCTCAAATAATGTAAAGTTACTTATCGCAAATTTTAATTCACCCAAAGAAATTATAAGTTTTAAAGTTTGTTTGTTTTTTATTAAATTTTTGGTATGTTTTAAAAATTATAAATCTTAAATCAAAATTTGTTTAGTTTGCCTCGCAACAACTCCAACGCTCAGAATAAAAAAAAGTGACCAAAAAATCAGGGAATTATTCACATTTCATAACTGCGGATGATATTCGAAATACTTACAAGGAATTTTTTACAATTAAAAGAATATTTTTTTAATCTGTTTTTGGCTTGTTTATTGGGGTATACCCCACACTTAGAAATAGAGCACCTGAGTCGCCCACATTTGGGGCGACCACAAAGGTCATCTCGACCGGATTGCAATGGAAGAGCCTCGCTCTGGGAGAATTTGGTGTGAATTATAGTAAACATAAATTCTTTTTATTTGGGGGTAAATTTATAAAAAAAGATCCTTCTTCGATTTCGTACTTAAATATTTGAGTCACTGAGTAAAGAAAGACTATCGCTAAATAAAAAGTTGCGATCCTAAAATAGTTGCTGACAAACAAACGATTTCATTAAATGCTAAATTCTAAATGATCTCAAGTCATTTTCTTTTCACCTCCTTTCCCGTTTCCCTTTCAGCATAGATACTGCGCGAAAATATGATTTAATTTAAATCAAGAAAGATGGAAAGTTTAGCGCAAGCTAGGGCAGATGAATTTTCCAAGCCTTTGAGCAATAAAACTTTGAACAATGTTCGTTACTTTTTGGTCTAAAACAAAATTATTTTATCATTCTTTCAGTTTAAAAGTGCATCCACCCACGCACGCAAACAAAAATAAAACTACATCAATATTTTCTGAATGATTATTCTTTCTTTCTTTACTTTACACATTTCTCGGAAACAGAAGTCCGAATTTTGTTCCGAATAAAATTTTCCACTTAATAAAATGCGTACGTGTGTGTAAATATATTTGCTTCGCTTGATTTCAAATCCACAATTGTAAGACAACCGGTATAAATCCTAGCTTGCTAAGTATCATATATATATATATATATATATATATATATATATATATATATATATATATATATATATATATATATATATATATATATACATGTACTCAATAATATGTTTCACTTTCCTTCTTTCTTTCTTTCTTTCTTTCTTTTCTTTTTCCTTATTTCTTTCATTTCCTTTCCTTCTTCCCTTCTTTCTTTCTTTCTTCTTTCTTTCTTCTTTCTTTCTTTCTTCTCTATATTCTCTTCATTTCTGTGCATATAAATTGCACCCAGCCAAAACGAAAAAAGTTTTCGGGCACTGTATCTGATATTTTCGTATTCAGTTCTAACTTTGTCATGTCCAGTCGTGTACCTGAAACTGTGGTAGCCAAGGACACCGAATATTTACGGTATATGTGTCTGAATATAAATGACAGTTGTGACCATAAAATTTAATTACTGAGAACGGTTATCAAATTCCTCACAGGAAGACCTAAACAAATTAAGAGAGAAAGAGTGTTACTCTTAAGCTATTTAAAAAAATATATATACTAACTAGCCCCTAAAGGTGGGGGTTCTCAATCAGGGAAAATCTCCTCCCTTTCGGGGGTTCAGGAGTGAAGGGGGAAATCTTTTACTTTTTCTTGTTTTTTGAATCACAATACCCTGGTATTCTATCCAACTCTATCTAATATTGTTTATTGAAGTATGCTTCAGTTTATTTAATAATTAGTTATGAATTAAAACAAATTACTATACATGTATTCAAGTTTTAAAATATTTCACCATTTTCTATTACTATTAAATTTGTAAAACAATCCATCTAAATGTCTATGTACTCATATGGAAAAGAATTAAGAATTTTCAATAATATATGCATATTACTTGGAATACACTGTTTGAGTCGGACAATCTTAGCCGGAGAGGGAATGATATGCTGGTTGTTTGGGTTGGTTGTTTTTGTTTAGCGGCATATCAACACTTCTGTGGGTTATTTAAAGCCGAAATTTAAATATTTTTTGTACACAATTTTATTTTTTTTTTGGATATGATATCATAATGATTTAGTGATACAACTAATTGCTAATTAACCCATAACTGGGGGGGGAGAAAAGATGGATTCATACATTCCCCAAGAATATTTGCGCGTACGTGACTATAACGAACCCGACTGGAATTGGAACTCGGCTTTCCGATTACCAATTCCGAGTCATTATCCGCACATTCAAGTTTATAGCACCTAGTATTCCCAAGTGGTTACCTATCTAGGTACTGACGAGGCTCGAGGTTGCTTAACTTCGGTGATCGTACGGGAACCGAAGTTTCAACGTGATTTAGCCATAGGCCATGATATTCTGATTTATGGTGAAAAGGGTGCATTAGGCAAAAAAAGGTTAAGGGCTTCTACTCTGAGGAATCTAAACTTCATCGAGAAGAATTTTCTGGTGATGATGATGATGATGATGATGATGGCTACAAGTATCGTCGCCGGAGCACCTGGAACGGCGGGTTCCAAATGCCTAACAAAATTGTGGGTAGAAAGGGAAATCTGAGAAAAAAAAACACCAAATTGACAACTCTGCTAAAACAGCTGAAATACTGAGGTGACACATTGTTACTCATTCTCCGGCGATAATTAGTAAACACCTGGTATGAACAGGTAAATAGATGGAAATAATAAATACAAGGATAATTTCATTAACGTGTCGTTGTCGCATTTCTGCTGAGAGAAATATGTTGAAATCGTGGGAAGCATATCACAAAAAATCAATTATTACAAAAATATCCTTTCATCTTCAAAATGTTGAAGAATGAAAAAATACTAAGAATCAAATACGTTCATATTTGTGAAATACAGCTGTCATTGACCAACGCATACTAAAAAAAATAAGGAAAATGTGAAATCAAGCAACCATTCTTTAGAAACACTTTCAACACAAAATGCAGAAAACTTCGACTTTTACACGGTAACTCGTTCTTAGTTTCTGGCAAGAATTGTTCAGTATTTTTGCGATCAAAATTGTTAGCAATGTTGTGCGCGTGTGTGCACGTGTGTGTGTGTGTGAGCGTGTGCGCGCGCGCGCGGTTCACATAAAACCACAAAAATATTAAATAAAATTTAACTGTTCAAAACATTAACTAACAATAAGCGGACATTAAGTAAATAACAATTTCTTTACAATTTGCATCACTTCTGCTGTCAGGTGTCTGTGCTCAAACGATTTGTAAGTCACTCATAAAAATATTAGTAGAAAACAAGGAGTGTCTGAACCTGTTAACAACATCTATTAATAATACAATAATATAATAATTTTTCGGCAAGATTTTTTGCATACCTACTACGATTTTAAGTATTTGGAAACTGACACTTTCACTACCCACTAAATTATTACAATACCTTACAATATAATTACAATACCTTTTATGTCCACTTCTTCGTCGCTTGTAGCATCAGGATAAGCAACCCGTTTTTTCCAAGTATTTGAAGAGATATGTGACTCTTGAATTATACTCCGAGAGTACTTGATTTTGCCATGGATTTTGGTTACCTGCAACCACAATTTTTCGTTGTCACTTTTTAGTTTGTCCACTTGCAGATTCAATACATGCACTGGTTCCTTCCACGAGCCCTGACAGGCTTGACGTTTCTGTGCATTCGTATAAATATCGATACATGGTCCTTGAGTTACGGGCTCTTCGGGCTTTTTCTCAACTTTTTCTTCAGGAGTTTTTTCTTCAGGAGTTTTTACTTCAGGAGTTTTTACTTCAGGGGCTTTTTCTTCAGGAGTTTTTTCTTCAGGAACTTCAATCTGAGGTTTTTCGGGTGTGGATTCCACGGGCTTCGATTCTTCGGTTTGTAGCTCAACTAACTTGGGTTCGGTGGGTTGAGGTTCTACGGGACGCGTCTCTGTCGATTTAGATTCTGTAGTTGGTTCTGCCGATTTCGGTTTTTCTGGTGTTTTCTTCTTCTTCTTCTTTTTCTTTTTCTTTTTGTCAGATTTTTTCTTGGGTTTCTTTGGTTTCTTATCTTTCGGTTTAGTGATTGGTTTTGAATCAGCATCTGGTTCTGGTTGAGTGGAAGCTAGTACTGTGGGCTCTGCTGCTTCTTTTGTTGCGTCTGGTTTTGCAGCCGCGGCTGTAGCGTCTGGTGTTTCAGCCGCGTCTGTAGCGTCTGGTTTTGCATCCGTGTATGTAGCGTCTGGTCTTGCATCCGCAACTGTAGCGTCTGGTTTTGCAGCCTCGGCTGTAGCATCTGGTTTTGCAGGAGTTTCACTCGGGGCATCTGATTCAGGTTCTGCCTGAGCTGTTGCATCAATGTCGGTAACTTCATGTCTTATCGGAGTATCTGTTTCGACATCTCCTCCTGGTGTAGCTTCCACCTTATTGTCTGGTGAAGTTTCCTCCTCTTCTGGTTTATCTTCTTCGAGTGTAGGAAGATCTGTTTCAAGTACATCTTCGATTTCTGACAACGTTTCTGGCCCAGTTTCTGTCTCCGCTATTACTTCAGGGAACGTTGGTAATTCGGGTCCCTCAGTTTCCAGAGATTCAAGTGTGGCATCGAGAGTAGGTTCGGGCTTGGGGTCCGAATAATCATAATCTTGTGCATTACATCTTATGTTTGTTGCAATAACTAAAAGTAACAAAATTATAAGCCCTGACAGGCAGCGTTCGAATTGCGTCTGTCTCACAGACATGATTCCCGGCGTCCACCGCCAACCACCACACCACCATAGAATTTTAGCAAGTGGCAGAAACTAGCGTCTTCACTGAGCCACGCCTACTCAGAAGTGAAGGATGAGAGACGCACTACCCAGAGTTGCCTCCCACAAAACTTCACTGGCGAACAAAATGTTTTAAGTAAGAAAGATGAGTAAACGGGAGGAGTTACTCATGCCGCCTTCCTTTCTATAGCATATCACTCAAGTGAATGTCGACTTCATCAGGGCTCTGAAGAGGGGTCACATTCTTATATTTTTAAAGCATAGACACGCTAACACACACTTACACATAGACACAGAAAGAAAAAGAAAGTGAATCTGACTAAAAATCATACAAGCCTTACTTTATAAAATTCTCTTTAGCTTTCTATGCAGGCCGATATTTCCAAAAAATAATTACAAACTATATGCTAAAATTGATGACACGCATTTGTACTCAAAAAAATAAATGGCTTTAATCTTTACTCTTTCAAATTGGGAATAATACTGAACTGTTAAAATAAGAAGAGATTCAAATTACGTGAAGCAATTCAAAGTAAATTACGTACAAGTAACTGGCTTTTTAGTAAAATATTTGTTTTAAACAAACATGTTTTTTTTAACATTTGAAAAACAACAATTACAATTTCTATTGACAATTCAAATAAAGTGTTTAATCACGCTATTAAATAGACGATGAAAGAAAAAAATTTTAATAAAGAAAACTTCAAATAAATCGAATTTTCCAAGCGATAAATTCATTTATCTCATTATTTGGGTGCTGGATATAAATTGATGCATGCAGTATACTCTTTGACAAAAAGAATAATTATTATTCGGTAGTTTGAATTTTAACACCCTAAACAATTTCTGAAAATATATATCGCATTTTGGACACTACTTTTCGTTTTTATTTCTGATTTTCAAATCAAAAAGAAGGCTCAGGATATAAGGTTAGGTAAAGAAAAAAAAGGTGAACGTAGGGAAGGTAATTCAGAACCTGGCATGTCGAAATTGTTTAAAACGTTAAAATCAACAATACTGTAATATTCTTCTAACGGAATAACATTTAAAAAGAGAAAAGTGACCTGCATTTTGAGGCTACCTACCTACCTGAAATACCTTTATCTTCTACTTCGCGATCAAAAAGTATTTCTACCGGTTTTTGCTTCTTAGCCAAAATAGCTGGGTGTGATAATTTCTGGGTCCAAGTTGTGTCATCCTTTTCAATCATAAGATTTGCCTCCGCGTCAGACTGAAAAATCAGATCTCGAATATCTGCGATGTCAGTATCGATCTTTTTACACTTCTTTTCTAATTCGGCAATGTCGTTGTCTCTGTACGTTGCACACACTTCTTCTAATTGTTGAAAAAAGTAATCGGGTTTGCATGGCGGTAGGAGTACGTCATGGGAAGATTCTCCCTCACTGGGGGATTCTTTTTCTTCTTCCTTTTCTTCTTTATCTTCCATATCTTCTTCATCTTGGTTGTAATCAGAATAAGCCCCATCGTTCATATAGTCCTCGTCGCTATCTTCACTTTCGTCGCTATCTTCACTTTCGTCGCTATCTTCACTTTCATCGCTATCTTTACTTTCGTCGCTATCTTCACTTTCATCGCTCTGGTCAGAATTCTCTTGTTTTACATTATACTGGCTAATGATATCTTGACTTTCAACAGAATTACCGTCTGTATCATTCGAGTGGCTACTGACGGCCAGGACAAACGCCAAGAAGACCCCCAGAAGCAAAAAATACGCCACCCGAGTCATGGTTTTCTCCCCCGGTACCCTGTCACAGTGTTACGTATCCGTGTGTCTGTGTGCGGGGCGCAACAGAATCAAAGCAGGCGGCTAAGCAACTGGAGGCCGATTGGATGAGCGGACTTCGGGTTCGCGCCCAGAAATGGCAAAACTATGATTTGGGGTGCGGTGGGATAGGAAAACAGATGAACAAATGGATTGACAAAGTTAACTAGTTAGACTGGGCAGTACCAGACAAAAATTCTAATCACATTGGAAGGAATGTAACAGTCAAAAAAGGCAAGTTAAGCACACCCACATCTACAGTCTTATTATTATCCTGCTACCTCGCCTTTTCCTCTGTAAACCCACTGCTACCATCACTCTATCATCGCCGTTGATATTCCAAATTTGTATTCTTTGATTTTTAGCCGTTATGAACAACTGTTACTTTCGGGTATCTGCTTCCTTCACTCTAGCTTAGCTCAGCGAAGACATTTTAGCTCTGCCCACTTGTTTTAAAACGCACCGCCCTTTCCAAAGATTCTGCTCTTTATTTTATGTATACACTTAAGGGACCATTATTATTATTATTATTATTATTATTATTATTATTATTATTATTATTCACATCAGTTATCTGTTGTCAATTTTTCTATTTTCTAGAGGAAGGGAACAAAAATTAGTTCAAAATTAAAATATAATTCAATGACTGCAAAAAACACATACCAGAGACAAAAAAGCACTAATAGTTGTGTAAGTACAAGACACGGGGACACTCGCTGTTTTAACAACATTTGTTTTGTTTTTGTTTTTTGTTTTTTTCTGCATGCATTTACTACAAATTAAACAAAACTGACTATTAAAGGATGAAAAAGTTTTTGTAGATTTTGAAGTCATTTTGGGGTGATTTCTTTTCGTCCACATCCATGAATTTGTTATGAACTAAGATGAACTTAGGATGAAATAAGTCTCGAATAAACACGGAATATAAAATTCACTTTTTTTTCATCCATAATGTTGAACATGTTTAAAACAAGATAAATTTCAAGTTGATAAAAATTACCGCAACACATTGTTGATTTATTTAAGATGGAATAACTTATTAGAATATGTCTCTAATTTGTATTTAGATACATTGTGTTTATTTTCAATTTTTTGAGTTGAATTGTTCATTTATATTGCATAAGAAGATCCATTAGTGTACATATGTTACAATAAAATTTGTATTTTATAGGAACACTACTTTTTGAAAATTGAGATGTAGTATAGTGGGGGCCCCGTATCATAGATTGGGAGGGGGGGATCATGAGACCCTTGTACCGGCCCTGACAATACACATATTGGATGAAAAAAATATGTGCGCACTCACGCACACATGCACACACACGCACACACACACACACACATACACACATGCATGCATGCACACACGCATACATATGAATCATATTCAATATTTTTTCATGTATTCAATAATGTGTTGTTGAGAGAATATTTTTAACTCATAAATACTAAATAGCTTTTGAGTTTTGCTTTTGACAGTTTCAGTTTATCTGTACTTTAAGAAATGAATAAGGTACCATTTTCCATTCTTAGAACAAATATTCAGAACAAAGATCAAATTCCAAGTTAACGACCCAGCTTTCAATCTCGAGTGTCATTTTTTCAAGAAATAACAATTCTAAGATAATTTCGTAACTGCTATTCTAAAATTAACTGAATTAAATATCTACATGAAGTGTTCGTTATGCACTTTATTAAGGTTATCACATTTTTCCAATTTAATACGGTTTTATTTCCGAAATTAACTTCTTTCATTGACATTTTTATGTGAAATTTCCATTGAGACCAAGTCTAGTATTTGCCACCAATCCAATTCCAAACATAACGATAGCGTCAATTCTGTTCTCTTACTGAAAACGAATAACAAATAGAAATCGAAAACAGATTTTGATTAGAAGGAAAAAATGACTAAGATTGACGAAATTGTGTATTTATGCATGTATGTATATGTGTGTGAACACACGCGCGTATGTATGTGCTTATTTTCATCTTTTTATAATTACCACTGTAAATGATTCATTGATTTAATTATTAATTACTGCTAGGAATCATGTAATCACAGACGACAAGAGAGAATTATCATTTATACAAACATTCAGCTAATGACAATTTTCAGTCACAAAAACGTTTTAGCCAGGACCTTTAGTGTAGTATATGTAATAAATAACACGGATCCCAAATTTTAAAAAATACACATAATATTAACTGATAAATTATTAGCTTAGTGATAGAGCTTATAAAGCAGTTAAATTATTTAATTTCTTTGAACATAATAAACAAACCCAGAAAAGTATAAGGCAAATCAAATGTTTCTAACGAGATATTTGAATTTGAGTACCGACACTAAAATCGGGAAACCTAAGGTTTAAATTAATTCAAAAAATGAAAAAAAACTTTCTTGAATCTTTCATTTTAACTTTAATTGAAAGCTAAAGGATTAAATTTACTGTTTCAAGTAAGTATAATACTCTCTGGTGTATTTCAAACAGAAATTATATTGATTTGAATCGATTTTAAAAATCTTACAAAAATAAAATATACTTTTCTGAAACTTTATTTGAGGAATATTAACTGATTTAAAAGCTTCAGCATTAATTAAAATGGTGAATAGGTAAAGACGCAGTTCCTCCAAGCATTAACATTTTCAGATTGTAAGATGCCGATTTTACCAGACAACGTAAAATTATTAACAATAATTTATAATGCAATAAAGTCGTATTCGCTAAAATAAAAGGTCCAACCCTCGCAAATTCATATTCACAAGAATTAAATTATTATTTATTCTAAACTCTAAAACTATCATTACTAATATCTTATTTTATCTTGTCGGGTTCAAAATTAATAAATAAATGAGCAGATTGATTACGCAGCTGCAAACGAACAAAACACCTGACATGGTTTAGGGAATTACTTCCAGAATTTTATCTCAATCAACATTATTATTAAAAATCGAGGCTTTAAATGTCTTTTCTCAGTTAAACAAACCATCCAATTATTATTACATTTTTTGTTCATTTTTTTTTTTTTTTTTTTTACTTCACTTTGGCATTATTTTTCAAATTTGAAAGATTAAAATAGCAAAAAACAAAGTGGGTAAAATAAACTTTTTACTTACCACTGACTACTTCGCCGACAGTATTAATAATTTGATCTGACTCAATTCCAATAGGGTCATGTACTCGTGACAGTC